CCCACTCACCCCCCCACCCCACTCACCCCAAGGTAAATATATCTTAGGTTTCTTAATTAGAAAAGTTATATAATTTATGTATTGATTTATTCTTACATCATTGAATTTAATATGAATAGCAAATTTAGTTTTATAACTTATTATCAGTCAGCCATATAGTAGTCACTGTCTTGTATATTAGGGGTGTAGGATTTCATATTTAGAGCTATATTAGCACACAGGTAGATTTTGAAAAATTCTACTTGTCCCTCCCTCTCCTTACTTAAAGCTTATATTATATATATAGTAATAATTGAAAAAGTTAAGGCCTGGCCTAAAATCTATGTTGTTGGTATTGTACGTTTACACTCCTGTCTATGAACATTTCACATTAATATTGTACAATTTATACAAACATGAACAGCCCTACGACCAAATAATCAACTTCAACATAAACAGAACCAGGTATTATTTAATATTTTGAAGTGTGTAATTAATAAATATAGTTAAACTGTTATGCAAAATAAATTATTTACCTGTACGGATGTTCCTGTGAGAAATTATAAACCACTTATATAGACTAAATATAGCTAGCTACCTATTCCATGTATACATGTACATCTGCTACACAACGAAAATGTGCATTACATGTACATTTCACTAACAAGTCTGATAAATAACCATACCCCACTGTCAAACATAATACCTGCATATCATTAGCCACACACAAAAGGTCGCTAGAAAGTCTGGGGATCAAGCTTATAGCACTACACAACTCAACCCAAGTACCTGTATAGGATAATGGCTTTTGGCTATGTACGCATACATGTCTGTCCATACAAAAGCTATATACAGTTGCCACTTTTGTGTAAAAGTCCAATATTACCAGTACATTGTAATGTTTTCCACTAGATTTCAATTACTGTGTAGGTTATAGCTGCTGTTATCTTCAACAACCACCCCACAAATATTCATAAGCTGAAAAACATTGAAAGTGCTTCATGTCAATCGTCAATTTTGATTTTAAAAATTGTAATAAATCTTACGGCTGAAGGTTTAATTCCGTGCCCTTTGGTGCTCTATTTAAACTGGAGATTATAAACATAGTATATTATCACTAGTCTGAAAATTGTAATTGCAAAATTTATTAATGGGGCATTAATATAAATATTCAGGACCAACAAATTTAAATATAGAGCATTCAGCTTTAAAGGAAATTAGAAGTATGATTTTGTTTGGATATATATATATACATTATATAGTATTGCTCATAGAAAAGCACACGTGTGGTTTTATTACAACTTATAAGTCTGTGAGTGTTTTTTGTTTTCATTTAATTCTTTTTTAGAGGGGGCGGGGGGGGGGAGGATTGGCTGGCTGGTGGCACATATATATATATAACAAATTCATAACTTTTTGATCTAACGTGTACGATATGCAATGTATATCCATTTACACTTTCACTATTTTGTGTTATCCCTATCTTCACTCAAAGTATACATTATTCAAAGGAATTAGATAAAAGGAGCAGTCACATTTATTTTTTGTCCACTATACAATAAATTTGAGAAAGATGTCACCATTTTTTAGGCATTTTTTAAAGACAACAATAATATTATACACTGTACAGTTCATGTACTGTATTCATTTCATTGATATAATACGATGTTGGAGAATTTGAAGAAAACTAATACCCTGGTAGTTAACAAGAAGTGATGATCTTTTCTTAATCAATGGAGATGACTTAAAACTATATATAAGTATTTAATGATAAGTTTTGTTTTTATCGAAAAAGTATATATATATGTACATATATTATATCTTTAGCAATTATTGTAACTGAGAACATGAGGCGGGGAAGCAGACAAGGCATTTCACAAGGCATTTCACTTATAAACTTTCACTATATTTTGAAATCAGAAATTGAAAAAAATCACACAACTATTTGTTCCCTTTTTTTAAATTTCCTGTTGCTTTTTCACCTATCATTAACATTTGTATGGATTAATTCTATATTATAGCACTTTGGGCTCAAATTTAATTAAAGATTCATTCATGTGAACTGGGGCTTTGAATTTTTTTATAAACACTATAAAAAAAATCAGGATTCAGGAACCATTAAATGGGATAAATGAGGTTTAAGAATTTAAATGAATAAATGTTTTTTTCCTTCGATAAGTGAACAGAATAGAATTAGCTTGACTAATGGCAACTTTTTTCAGATTATGTGTATTGAACAGCCTATCTGTGATATTGGATAATTTCCTTTGCTCAAAAATCACGTTCAACACGTACTAAATTATACAGAGTGTGAAAAGGAATAATTTAATAGACGGAATTACATGTCATGGACCATTAAACTTATCATAAAGTCAGGGTATTCAGAAAATCAGTTCAGTCTTATCTGTATTCCACCATAAAATTGACAAAAACCTGACATGATTTGGGTTTGGAGGAGACGGCTAAACCTGGTTTTGACACACTATTGAATTTACATTTCCACACACAGGGATGAACATATTTTCTAGGTAATATATATACATTTACCCCGTACCATTCAAAATGCACACAGAAAACTTGCCTTCATTTATTGGGATGAACCTGTAATATAAAATGGATTTACATGTGGGAGCTTGAGGAAATTTAAAAATAACGGACATGCATGGCTGATTAGCAGCAGGGAATGTTATAATTATATATAAGGAGGTTTCTTGACATGAAAAGGGACAAACGGGGTGGTTCAACACCTCAAAGGTGTGCACGCGTACGTACACTCTTAAGCTGTGAGTTGGGAGTTTCTGTACAATACCTGTTGAATTATTGGTCACAAAAACATGGTTGTAAATACCTGTACATTACATAGGACCAACTGGCCATTTTGGAAACAAAAGA